TCCTCCTGCAGCAATTTATACCCAGAGCCTCCTTCTGTCCTGGCCTCCCAACGCCCCAAACACATTCCCAGGGATTTATTCTGCACAGAACGGGTTCAGCATTCCCAGGGTTTAATTCTGCACAGAATGGGTTCACAATTCCCAGAGATTCATTCTAGGAATGGTTGAGCATTCCCAAAGATTCATTCTGCACAGAATGGGCTCAGAACTCCCAGGGTTTAATTCTACATAGAATGGGCTCAAGATTCCCAGAGATTCCTTCTGCACAGAATGGATCCAGAATTCCCAAGGATTTATTCAGTATTCCCAGGGTTTAATTCTGCACAGAATGAGTTCAGCATTCCCAGGGATTCATTCTGGGAAAGGTTCAGCATTTCCAGGATTTAATTCTGCACAGAATGGGTTCAGAATTCCCAGAGATTCATTCTAGGAATGGTTGAGCATTCCCAAAGATTCATTCTGCACAGAATGGGTTCAGCATTCCCAGAGATTCAGAATGGGCTCAGAACTCCCAGGGTTTAATTCTGCACAGAATGGGCTCAAGATTCCCAGGGTTTAATTCTGCACAGAATGAATTCAATATTCCCAGGAATTCAGAACGGGTTCAGCATTCCCAGGGATTCATTCTGGAAAAGGTTCAGCATTTCCAGGATTTAATTCTGCACAGAATGGGTTCAGAATTCCCAGAGATTCATTCTAGGAATGGTTCAGTATTCCCAAAGATTCATTCTGCACAGAAGGGGCTCAGAATTCCCAGGGATTCATCCTGGGAATGGTTCAGCATTCCCAGGATTTAATTCTACACAGAATGGGTTCAGCATTCCCAAGGATTTATTCTGCATAGAATGGGTTTAGAATTCCCAAGGATTCATTCAGAATTCCCAGGGATCCATTCTGGGCTCAGCCCCTGTGGTCCCACCCATCCAGGCAGGAATTCTGCCCCTTCTGTGCCCCCTGTTCCACCCCTGGCATCCCGAAACCCAAGCCCAGAGAGCCCTGGGGTGCTGGCACTGCCCTGGGGATGGATGGATGTGGGGACAGCTGGGCTGTCCTGCCTGGGGACAGCAGAGCCACCCCCTGGGGCAGCCACCTCGTCCCACAGAGTCCCCAAATCCCGCCCTGGCTCCCAGCCAGGACAGCTCCTGGCACAGGGACCGTGGAAGGTGTCCCATGTTTGCAGCACCCATGGATGCTCGGTGCCTCCAAGGTCTCACCACGACCCTGGGCCCCACGGGCAGCTCCAGCCCGGCCCCAAAACTCCCCCAGAGTGGGGCAGGAGGGGGACAGAGCTGGGGTGGCTGCTGGGGTCAGTGACAGGAGACAGGTCCCAGCTGTCCCAGCCCAGGCTGGCTCCTGGACCTCGTGGGTTTTCCTGCCCAGGACACCTTTCCTGGAGTGTTTTATGGCAGAGAACCCCGCTGTTCCTGCCCTGGGATGAATTTTTCCTTTGGTATTTCCTGTCCTTGTTGGGGGGTGTGGACACATCAAAGATCTTCAGTTCTGGGCAGGTGGAGCAGCTGCT